CTAATACTACAGTAGCAATTAACAAATAGCTCTTACAAGGTTTTATTCTAACTATATGCTTTATATAATATCTTGACTTTTACCTAAGGTTTCCTCCAACCTATCCTAACTAGAAAATAATTTGAAACGATTATTTATAGTACTTATTAGGAAATAGAAGGTGTAATATCACATTGGATGTATATTTTTTAGCAACACAAATGTAGTTTAAAAATCTTTATTTTAGAAATTTTTTTCTATAATTAAATTTCTTATTATATTTTAAAGTTTTTATTATAATATTATATAAATAAAATAATAATAATAATAATAATAATAATAATTTTTCAGACAAATTTGTTTAGAAAAACTAATACATTAAGGAATACTAAATAAAAATTATTCTACTATTTTTTTATTTACTTAGATTATTTAAACAAAAAACTAAAAAGAAAAAAAAACTTCAACTTTATTATAAAGAATCAGTATAGAATACTAGTTAGTATAAAGACAATGTTGCAGTTCAAGACATATATATAATTATATTTGTATTGCTATATTATTTTCAATTCATGTCATCAATAATCCTGTTTAGGAAATAAAAGAGTAAACTGTATTACTTACTTTTATAAAATTTTTTTTAAAAGAAAAATATAAATACTAAGTAAATCAATTTTTTAGTTTTTGTAAGTTCTTAACTTATATAAATGTTTCTTATAAGTTTTACAGTTGTATAAAACTCATATATCCAACTTTGTTGTTTATTTAATAAAAAATCTTGTTTTTACTAACTATGTCTTTTATAGTTCCAAAATACTCTTTAAACTGTTATCACAAAACTGCAACTTTTTTTTAACTCTATTTCAATATTTAACAATATGTATACAGTATTTTAGAAAGATTTTTATAAAGTTTAATATATTAACTATATTATTTTTCTGTAGTTTGACTTTTTGAAAAGTTTGGTTCAAATGATTATCAGAAAGAATTAAATGAATTTTTGTATTCTTTTTTAATGATAAACTTTTATAATTATATTTTTGTTTTAATTTTTTCTTTCTTTAAAGTTTTTTTTTTTATTTTCTTGTAAAGCTTGTTTATTTTAGTTAAAAACATAGTTGTTAAAGATTTAGTTATATAGAACTAATTGAACACATTCTGTAACCATAGTTTTTTTTTTAAGAAAAAAATTTTCTTTATTTTTTGCAAGTTGCCTTTTCATAAAAAAACTTATTGCAAATTCAATTTTCTTGTTTCTGCAAACTTCTGTAGTAAAGATTCTATGTATTCTAGAACTAGAGGAAAAACCTCTGTTCTGTTACTGTTTTTAAACTTGGCAAGATCCTGAATAAAATTTATCTTGTCTCTTATAAATTACTTTCTGTTCTAATTGTAAATAATCAGAAAAGAGATAGTTGATCTTTTAAGTTTATTAATTTTCATTGCGACGTATAATAGAAATTAGTTTATTAATATCTAAATGAATTAATAAAAATAATACTTGTTTGTCACAATAACGTTCAGTGCATTTATTTTAATTTGATTTTTTTCTTGTTTTCGATTATTTTTCGTATTTTTATCTTTTTTTTTTATTTTTAAAATTGACGATTTTGATTGGTTATTACTTCTCAAAGTGTGATCTGCCGCTCGTGTAACCGAGAAAGTTCACCCTTGCTCCACTACGTCGGGTCTTTTATTGTTCGTTCGTTTTTTTTTTTTAAAAAAAAAAAAAGGTTTCCTTATGGCCGAAAACATAGTCTACGAGGATACTCCTTTCGCCGAGTATCTTGCCGGTAGATAATTTAATCTTTCTAACATGCGTTTTAAAAAAGTTTGAATTTTAAAAATATTTTATTTTATATTCTTAACAGATATCGGTAGTGAAGAAACGCTTACTAAACAACCAACCCTATTTGAATTAGAAGGTTCACAAGCTAGTGAGACTACATTGGTGTCCCAACTTTCACAACACATGTTAAACATATTTAAAAATATCCAGGTATGAAAGCATAAGGATTCAAATACTAAGCTTGCAAGTTTTATACTTCCAGTAAAAAGCGAGTTTGCTCATTACTTTAGGAAACATTATCAACCGCGCTTCCTTTACAAGAAGAAAACGAGTTCGAAGAACGTTTTAAATATTTATTATGCACTTCACACCTCTTAAATGACACGTTATCTGTCTACTTCTATGATAGTAAGAAACCTAAACCAATAGATACCAGCGAGGCTGGGCTGTACTTTGGCGGGATTTCGCGTCGAAATTTTGAAATTTTGTTGAGTTCCATAATCGGCATAATTGTCGTCATTCTAACTTGGTTATTGCACGGTACTGATTCCAAAGATTTCGGTATAAAGATTTTACAGTTACCTACTGTATTTGCTTTGGCATTATTCGGTACCTTTTTCTTATATCGTCACATGGTAATTTTCTTTTATTAATCACCATCTTCTTATTCTACTTTAATTATTATATTAAACTTTTTTAATATTAATTTGTAATATGGACTTTAGCGACGAAAAGCTACAAAAACATTATATAAATCTGCTCTATACTATTTAGAGAGACTTGTATATAATTGTCAAAATTTCGATATAAAATTAAACAAAGCATTAATAATGATTCAAGAAATTGAACTTATATCCCGTGGCTACAGATTGTATGTTGTAAATTTACTTCAAATCTTCCTGATTTATTTTCTTTTATTTTATTACTCCTTAATCATGTAATTAATTTTATTGTAAATAGATCCATGCCTCTTTCCCCAATATCCCGTATCGAACAATCTTCAAAAAATCGTCGTTGTGTTATGCTTAGAGAAATTGTTCATAACATACTTCAGGAGGCTTTCATAAGTTATCAGGATGCTATAGTTGCCATGAATTCGGAGATTTTAAAAGAAAATTTAGCCATTATGTACAATATGTACAATATCATTCCTTGTTTAGAAAGTGATGAATGGAATTCTAACGAAGAGGATGTTCTTTCCTTAGAGAATTTAAAGCAATGTTTTCAGAAAGTGCATACAAAACGTAGAGAGTTGTTGTGCCATTTCCTTGCACTGGATGTCATGACACCTGGAAGAGATTCTGGACGAAGAGATTATGAACATCATTGGGCAACTGTAAATGAACATCTAGATAATTTAGGAACAATTACTGGTCTTTATTTAGATCAAATTATTGTGGCATCAACTAATGAACTAAGTAAATAAACTATTGTTTATTTATTTTATTTTATTTTTTATTGTATTATTATGTGCATATAGATTTAAAAACTATTATTTATCATTTTAGCTCCAAAACAAGACTTTTTGTTTCAGCAAACTTCACAAGCAATTACGAATAAGCAGCTCATGACCTATCTTCATCGTTTATCTTCTATTGAACAACATGTTCGTGGTGTTCAGGCAAAATTATATATTTGCAATGAAGACGCGCGTAAATTTTATGAAACAGAAGGTACTTGTGATGATAATATTTTGTGATTTGATTATTTTTATGATTATAATTTATGTTCTTATCGTAACAGGAGTTGTTGTTTCTGAGGACGAAAGAAAACAGTTAATGAACCAATATGAATCTATAAGTAAAGATTTTACCTACATGTTCCAAGAATGGGAAGATGGAAAAAAAGCCTTAAAAGATATAATGGGCCCAACATTAGTAGATTCAGAATTAAGTAACAGTCGTCATTCTATTGAAGAAGACGCTGAAACTTTGAAGGATGAGAATGATCATGACGAAGAAATCTGTGAAAAAACACACACAATCGACTGGTCACGAACAGATGAACCTTTGGACGTATTGGAACAAGTATTTGAAGCTGAAGCTGAGGTTGAAGTCGAATCCACTACAAAGGTAGGGACATATTATTAAACATACAAGCTTTCTAAAATTAGTAAATCTAAAAAATTTTATATTTTAACTTTAGAAACTGACAAGAGAAGAGAGGATTACGATACAAAAAGCTAAAAGAATCGAAGAGGTATGTGTAACTACATTTAATTGATCTTATTATCATTCTTTACTAACTATTGACTATTATAAATTTTGAAAACAGGCCAAGTCAAAAGAAGTACGTTCAAATTCTGAACGTATGGTACACGAATTAAAAGATGTTTTAATACGGCGGAAGCCATTATCTTCGGATGACGATCATTCACAACCCACTCTTGAAGAATCCGATTCAGCACAAATACACGAAACCCATACTACTGTCATATCTAATTAGAAACTTTTTTTTTATCATCATTTCCTTTACCATTATTTATTTTATTATTACATTTTCTTTAATAGTCGCTGGTCGCTAAAAAAACGCTTAACTATAGACGTCAATTACACATATTTAAGTTAGAAACAGTAATATATCAAAAAAAAAAAGGTTTAATTTCACGTTACGTTGAATATTTTAAGCTTCCTAGTCTCTTTTTTATTGTATCATATATTACTTAAGTAATTTACACATTTTTCATGGAATATTAATTATTTATATTTAGAACTTGCACTGTATTTTCATTTAAAACCCAATAATTCCGAATAGTGTATAAATAGGCCAATAAACTCAATATTAGTAATTTAATTCTAAACTCGTGGGTATAGAAATATATTGCATGGAGAGGGCATAGGTAATAATAATATTGATCCGTTTGGAATTAGTGGAAACTTCGTTTCCGCTGATTCACTTACGGATCAGGGTATTAGATCAATAACTACCCCTGGATATCCGTAAAAAAGTTCCTATTACGTGATCCATTGATCAGAAGCTATGCTAAAATCCTTAAAACTTTAGCAAATATATATCGACAGTACTTAACCAAATTCGATGAAATTTTTTTATTCAAATTCTACAGGTTCGTAGAATTCGAATAAACCAAAATTCATCACATTTAATAAATATTTGTCAAAATATCTCGATCTTAGAAATTTTTAAAATGTTATAAACTATTTTTGAAGCAAAATTTACATTTTTGATACTCTTGCACTTATTTTGTTAATATATCTAAATCAGTGTTATTACAGGACAGTTTTAATTATTAGCTTGCATATTAGTTTATTATAAAAATAAAAGTATAAAATACTATTAATTTTGGATTTCTTTTAGTATAGGTAAGCATATATAAATTAAAATCTATTTAATTTGAGCCAATTTATATTATAACCCTAATTATTTGTAAATCTAATTAAATTGATTTTCAAATAGTTAATTTATATACATTATAATTATATTATAATTATATTTGCTCACCTATATTAAAGATTAATTTTAATTTTTTATAAAAAAATTTATATAGTTAAAAAAAATTATTAAATTACAATTATTTTTATTAATTATTTGTATATAAAAATAATAATTTTAGCATTTATTACTTTTTTTTATTTTTTTTATTTAGCATTTATTACTGGTGGTGATACTATTATCTTTATTTTTTTTATCAAATTTAGAAATAGAATGCAATTTAGACCAAGGTTAGGGTTAAGTATAAAGGTCAAAATCTTCATTATTGTTAGGTTTTTTGAGGTTCTAAACATTTTTACATAATATCTTTGACATGTATTAGCTAGTAAATTTTTGAGATATAGTATTATTAATGATATTATCATTGGTGATAAATAGCAATATTCTAAAAATAATTAAAAAAAAAATTTTTTTTTGTATAATTAATTATAAGAAATATTTCAAGTAGTATTAATTAAAAATAAGTAGTAACAAAAAAGATAAAAATTTAGTTTAAAAACAAGATGCATTGTAATACTAATATAACAAGAAAATTTTAAAATTTTTTAAAAAATTTTAAAATATAGTAATTTAAAAAATTGTTATACAGAAGAGTGACAACCTAGTGAAATGAACAGATTGTTAACTTCCAAGTAACAGGTCTAAAGTTCAATTCTTACAGATAATAAAATTTAGAAATTATACCTATGTTATAGTAACTGACTTTTGTTAATTAGTTGAGTTAGAAGTATGATGACTTAGTAAAGTAGATAAGTTGTCAATCCTCTAAGTAGTATATTGTAAGTTCAAAATCCACCAATGGTGAAAATTTAGATAATTATCTATATAATACATAGATGGTATTATGATAATAGCATTTTTTGATCAGTTAGAATAAAATACCTGTAACTATAATCACACTAGTATGATTGGCAGATTACAAGGCATCTGTGTAATTTTAGTTATATAAAGAAATGCAAACCAGTACTAAGTAATGCAAATTTAAAATAAGTCCTTATAATTATGTAAATCTGTAGAACTGTAAACTGAAGTCTATTTAAAAATACTAAGTAGAAAGGTAGCATAAATCTTTAACAGTACTATTATAAAAACTAGATCTAGAAAACAGATACTAATATAAAAGAATCAAACAGACAAAAACTTCAGATAAGAGATATTACAAATTAAGCCATCAGATTTTAGACTAAAGAAAAAAATATTAAGCTAGTCTTAATATATCAAGAACAGATCACAGTCCTTCTAGGCTATCTGAACTAAAAATCTGAGACCAAAAACAAGAATATACTAAAAGTATTAGGAATATGCTATAAAGTTAATAATAGTAGAGACTTGAAAAACTTCATATATAAATATATATAAATAAAATAAAATTTTTAATACAAAAAAGTATAAATCAGAATTTTTAGAATTAAGCATAATTATATAACTTTTATTAATTTTAATTAGTTAAAAATTATAAAATATTGATTATTATTAATTATAATTTATTGTAAATCTATTTAAGAGATAAATGATTTTTTTTTTTTAAGTTAAAGTTTCTGCTTTTGAAAATTGATGTTTTTATTCAAGTATTTGAACACAGATATCTTCAAAAGCTTCTATATATAAAAGGTTACAACTAGCCATACATGCACTTTTGATGCCTAATTTAAGTAGTTTGTCTATACATTACTATATAGGTTCTACACTAGATACATACTTGCAAGCCAACTACAAGTCTTGCCTATTTAAACCTTCTATATATGTAGTTCAGCTTGTGATCACAAGAACATCTTCTGAGCTACACTCATCTAAAGTACCTAATGTTTTCAAGACCCTTAGGACTAATTTATTTTTAATAGAAAACTTACTAAAACCTTCTATATTCTATACATAGCTAATCTAGTTTTATGCAACATGCTATAATTATTTAATACTTGCAGTTACAGAGGTTATCTGTTTAACTGCTACATTATACTATTTCTACTTTTGTAAAGTTCACTAGAACCCAGTACCTATCATCACAACATCTTCTTCATTATTCTTTACTAACTGCTACTTAGGACTAACAAAACTTTTCCAACTTCCAATTCAGATAACCCAGTATAATATATATATGTATTTTTTTTCTCTAATAATTCTGATAGTCTAGTTGGTCATATGTTCTTCTATACAATTTGTTATCCAGTTTATCTGCTTATCCTTTTGAGAGTGTTTTATAGGCTTTTATTGGTCTGATTATACTGTCAAAAGTTCATGCTACTTCTTTATTTAGGAATTTCAAGTAGGCTTCTAACTTTTCAGTTTCTTAATTTATTACATTTGGTGGTCTTATTATAAATTTGCACCAAAGTCTTATGTGATACTAGTTATTAACATTCTTCTATATATGTATAACATTACACTTTGCATAAATACTCTGATTTTCTATTTGAGATGATATAACTTAAGATTACAAATACATCAATTCAACTGATTATTAAGAAACAGTTTGCTATAATATAGTTTAATTTCCAAATTTCATCATAGGTAGAATTTGAATCTTATATTTGCTACTTAGAGAATAACAATTTAATCACTACACTAGAATCACTATCCTTGATAAATGATTTTATAATTATGTATTATTATTACTATTGGGCTAATTACTAATCTATTTTGATTATTTACATTAATTCTATAAAATCAAGTTTTTTTAAAAAATATATATATATAAATGATAAATACTAGTTTTTAAAAATAAGTTATAATTTTGTATATAAAAGTCAAATACATTTAAAAAATAAATTAAATACTTTATTTGAAATAGTATAAAGTATAATAATAATGCTTTCATAATATAGTCTGATATTATAAAAACACAATAAATTTTTAAATTTTATTATTTTTCAAAATGCTATTTAAACAAATTACTACTTATAATCATGCACAAGAATTTTCAGAAGATTTTTTTTGTGATAATAATATTTTAATATGCCAATTTTGTAATTGATCAGTTAAATAAAAATATAAAGCAACTGTTATCTCATATATAAATATAGAAATTATTAAAAATTTAAACAAAATGCAAGTTCTAAACAAGTAAATTTAGTACAACAAATATTAAATTTAATAATTAATAAAAATAAATAAAAAAACAGTTATTAATAATTTGGTTTTGGTATTCATTAATGCTAATATATTTTTAGAAAAAGCTAATAAACTTCTTTTATAGATAAAGAAATATGTAAGAAAAGATAGTGCTGTTTCTAAAGCAAATATTTTATATTAACAATATCTTCTAACAGTTTATAAAATACAATTAAATCAAGAGGATGGTGATCCTAGTATAGTAGTTAAGTTGTCATCCTCCAAGCAGTAGATTCAGAGTTCAAATCCTACTGGTGATAAAAAATTTAAAAAATGGTCCTATTTTAGCAACTTGTATAAAGTATCTGGTATTGTAATTCTGTAATTTTGGTTGTATCAAGACTAATTTTAGAAGTGTACAATGTCATACAAATAAATCTGAAAAGTATATACTCTATAAAAAGCCTTGTTTGGAAATTCTAAGTAGAGAGATAGTATGATCTTTGATAGTATCATCTGTAAAAATCTTGATCTGAAGACAGAAACCTGAAGCAGATGATCTGTATAGGCAAGAACTCTAGATAAAGGAGTTCACAACCTGGCTACCAATTGAACTGGGTATGAAGTCACATTATATAGAGCTAACTGGATTGGTAGTATAAAAGGACTTGTAAGAGTGTACAAGATACTAGTAAGATTGTAAAGGGAATACTAAGGTTGTATAAACTCTATAAGAGTATAGCAATTTAAGAGTTACTTTAACTGCAAGTGTTTGTCTCAGTTATAGTGATACTAAGTCAACTGAAAATTGAATAACAAAAGACTCTAGTGGGTTTAGTACAAAGTTAAAGATTCTTTATATGAGTAAACTACTTTAAAAGACCTAATAATTATAATAAATATATACTGATGAAAACTGAAGCAGTTGATAGAGTAAGTAGATAGGT